GCTAAGCTTACACCTACTTAACTTTATTATCTATAAGTAGTTGAAGAAAAGGATTTCAATTCAACATTTCCATTTATGATAACAGTGCATCTTGATCAATGTCATTCTTGTTTTTCCTGTCCTGGGGCTTAAACATATGGACATGGACATTGTCCCTACCTTCTTTTTTTGCACAAGACTTGCACTCTACCACTTGAGCCAGAGTGCCATTTCTGGCTTTTTCTGTGTAAGTGGTACTGAGGAATCAAACCCAGGGCAAGCACTTTGCCACTAAGCCATATTCCCAGTCCTTGATCAATGTCATTCTTTCCGTCATTCTCTACTACATCTGTCCCAACACAAACCATGCCAAGTTACTTGTTTGCATTTTCATGTATGTGTATTTTGTATTATGACTACATTTACCCATCCTTCTTCTCTCTATTTTCCTGTCCTTCTTCCTTTGAACTCACATTCCTCTTGACAAAACAAGTTTCAGCTTCCTGGTGTTCATTTTGTTCAAAAGGAGATATACTATTGGAATCCTCTAATGCATATTTATTTTCAATCATCTCAAAAAACAAACAACAGTCACAGGAAGCCTCAAATCCATGCTAACTCTGTAGGCAAACTCTTGGATCTTGAAAACAATTGTTTTAGATGGGACAGACACTGGGCATGCTTGGTTCTCTCATACTCCTTACCAATAGTTAGCTTACTATTCCTACAATTGCTGCCAAGAAAACAGAAGAATGTGTGACTTCACCAAGCCAAATGATTGGTGGGGAATTGGTAGACTAAAAGCAAGCATATAGGCTCTTCTCATTTCCATGCGCTCTTTATGGATGTGTGATGATTGTGAAATGACCTACATAGAAGAAACAAGTAGCCTCATCTCTTCCAAGAGGGGCATTGTCTGTGAAGAAATCTATGTCTAATTCATGATACCCAGTTTCCATCATTGTTCATTCTCATTTAATCCAGGTGAATTTGACTTAATATTAGCAGATTGAATATATAGACTCTCTTCCATGCTTCTCAGAAATAAAAGAACATGGTGTCATTTGTAAACACTGAAATGGTTATCTTCAAGGTGCTTTTTTATGGTAAAAGGAAGAGCAATCTGAAGTCAATATTTCGAAAATGAATCCTGCAGGAAATTAGGACTTTATCTTGCTAATAAATAAAGTGGGTATTGTATTCAAATTTTATTTTAAAAAACCTTAGGTTTGAACTAAGTTCAAGTTTTAGAGAAATATTATCAAAATTAGTTGAAAATTATATTTTCTGTTTATTATTCACTCACTTGCTTTCATAAAGAACATAATCTATTAGTTTTCCCCAGCATATTTTTAAAAATGTTTTACAGAAAAGTAATGTTAAGATAATGTTGCTACAGATGGGCACTTGAATTGGGTAAGTTAAACTTATCTTAAATACTGAATAATTTCAAATTTTTAATGGCTACTATTTATGTGCTAGTAAATGAAAGACAATTAAGGGTAATTTAATACAAGACATCATAAATAAAATTTCATGAAAGACTATTGTTTCAGAAATGGTACAAAGATAGAGAGTTTGTCAAGGACTTGGTTAATACCATAGAAGGTTTGGATTCATCATCTAAATAGTAAACTATCATTTTTTCTTCAATTTTATGGACCTGTAAGGCAGAGAGGGTTTGCTGCTCTTTCTTCTCTCCACTGTTGGTTACGGGCATGGTGGGTATTGATGCCTTCATTTAGTGAATGATTCTATTTCCTGGTCTTCCTTAGCATAACATACAAAATAGATTATACAACTTTAAACATTTTATTTTCTATGCTTCAAGTCTTCTCTTTAGATGTATGAGACCAACGATATAGCCCAAGTGTAACTTGCCCAGCCAAGTATACATTTGAAAAAAAAAATCTTTTTTTAGTACTCTTCTATGACTTTTTGGTGTTCTTAATATAGCATAGAGTAATGTTAAGCTATGTATCAACCCAAATTGCCGAATATACTTAAAATACATTGATTACTCAGAGAATGCAAAAGTCTACCAAAGGGATACTACATTTCCTCTCTTTTCTGGCATCAGCCCCTTCTGAGTCCTGTAAGTCTGCAATATCTTCACTTGCATTCATGGAATTATAGCCTGAAGCAAAAAAGAAATGCTGGGGGCATTTATTTGATCCCCCTCTACCACCCATACTGCTGTATTGTGAAGTAAAACTGTTTAAAATATTAAAACTTCTTATACTCTTTCATATTAGAAAGTATTTGAGTTTCTTTGGAATATCACAAGCTATGCCTTTTATTATTTATATCCTCAGTCTCAGAAGGTCATACATGAAATATTGTGAGCTGAGCTTCAGCAAGATGAAAATGTAAGCTACAGTAATTCCCATGTACATATCTATCAAGCCTCTGACCCCAGATAGTTACTTACTACTTGTTGTAATAAGTAAAACCAAACTCAGAATTACTAGGAGAATTTATGAAAAAAAGTTAATCACAATGCTTGGATAATTGACTGTTCCAATCTGAACTGTGTTACAATCCTAATGGCTATTAGGCATGTTCTTAATGCCCTTGCTATAAAAAAGGACTCTGTGAGACTCTTCAACTTTGAAATTGGAACCTGTATATAACCTTTAAAGTCTCAATGAAATTATAGTATAAAATCAAATTTCTAATTAGGCAAGTTTTGAATGAAATCATAACTTTCTTTTGCAGAAGTCATTAACATTTCCCCATAATCAATAAGTAGTGTTCCTGACTTCTAAAAGACTGAAAATATTTCTGTTTGCTAGGGTCACAATTGAGAGTTATAGGCATTCTTTTAGACTGAAGGAGAAGAAGCAGTCCGGGGCAATTAATTTACAGAACTTGGCTTATGCATGGATGAATGGAAAGAAAGTGACTTACAGAGACATATGTCACTCCTGCTTTAAAGGATATAAGGAATCAAATCAATTTATGACTCTTTTGGTTGTAAGAACAAGAATTAACCTGTAGCTGATTTAACTTTTACTTTATAAGATTTTTGAGGTGGCTTCCAGTAAATTAACTCTAGTAAGGATGGATTGTCTGGTAATACTGGGTAGATGTGAACAAGCTGAAAAGAAGGAATAAGGAAATCCTTGTATTTGTAAAGTCCATTAATTTGGTACAAATGCACTCCAAATCCACTGAACAAGTCAAAAAAGAAATGCTACAATGCCAAAGAAATATCTCTAACTTTTAAACTTATCATCAATACTAACAGAAAAGTTGCTAGAATATGACAATATTGGCCCTTTCCATCATGTGCCAAACCAATTCTAAACAAAATTTTCCCTTGGTTGAAATTCCCTCTAGTATGGCATTAAAAAATTTCCAATTAAGGTAGAATTTAACAGAAAATCTAATTTATGCAACAGCAAAACAGAATGCTTTCAGGAGCAAAATATATACTGAGGCTATTTACTTTGATATGAAGTTTATAGGACTTTAAATGAATGACAGTTGCCAACTTAGTCGTAAAAGCATCCAGTAGTACAAAGCTGTATAAGCATCATTTTTAAAATTGTTGATGTGAATTGTTGATAGGAAAAGTGAATATATTAAGAGATTATTTGTAAGAGTCTGAGTAGTACAGAGATATAGTATCATAGCACAACAATATCAAGAAAAAAACCACTTGAACTGATGAGTGTATCCTTAGCTATTTTTAAAAATGGCCACCATGCTTCTTTTTAGCTAGTAATAAATTCTCATGCAGTCATTTTTCTCCTTAATGTTTGTGCAGCTTCTAAATCTCCCATTGATATTTATCTTTTCATCATGCTATATTATTTCATTAGAGGAAGACCACATATCTACAAAACTAACGATGTAACATGTTGGTATATAACTCAGGCCTCATATTTCTTCTCAACCTTTTAGGGCCTCCCTACCTAACCATGAAACCACAAAAAGCATTTGACAGATACTAAGTGATTCTTACTGAATTACCTCAATAAAGGCTTACGAAATCCACAAATCGAAATCACTCAACAGGAGATGGACTGTGGTGTACCAACCACAAAATAGTATATTTATTTTTTTTTAACATTTTTGCTTTTATTGATAAAAACTACACAAAAGCTAATCAATATGTAACTTAAAAGCAATGTTATACATAATCTCGTGTTTAGAAATTGGTCATCGTGGCAGGTTCATCCATGGTCCACAAACCCTCAGTCCACGATAAACTTGCTTTCCTTCACACTCCCAGATCTTCACAGGTCTCTTAGGTACATTACACAGTGTCCACTGACAATGAAAATAGAAACGGAACTCCTACTGTCTTGTATTGAAGAGATATTTTTCTCATGTTGTTGAATTTTCATTCCAACAGTTTCATCAAACTTGTGGTCAACTTTATTTGTGGTCTTTGTTAGTTCAAATTTTCTTTTGGAACAACATGAGCTTTATGCCCATGATTAGAATTGGAAAGAGATAAACTTGATGGGTGGGGAGGGGAAACTAAAATAAAATAAAACAAACAAGAATGAAGAGTTTTTTAAAGGAAAATTAAAACGAAAGCAATTGAGATGAACTCTCTGAGTGTTACACACACCTAACAAGGAAAACTGTAATGTCGCCCCAACTTCCCACCCACCCCTTGTACAAGCCCTCCCGTGCTTCTCCAGCCCAGGAACCATGCAGTGTAGAAAAAATCAAATATACAAACAAACCTATAGATAGCTATGGTGAAATCTATTTTTACAAGAACTTAACACTCTTTGACTATTTACATCCGGGAACATCTTTGTTTGTTTCATATTTTTTAAAGCAAAGAAGGTTCAACAATTCTTCCCGGTTTTGCAGTGGCTTTGCATCTGCTACCATCGTAAGCAGTTTTGGTTTTCCCTTTTTCTCTATGCATACATGTTTTCACAGGAACGATGATCTTGCTTGGGGGCACGGTTTGGGGCAAACCATTCTCCTTGGAAAATGAAATCACTCCCTCCGCGTGGCAAGTTCCCCAAATGAGATGTTGGTTGGTTTCACCATTAATTTGTTATTCTTTCCAGGTAAATGGTCGGTGCTGCCGACCTGGCAATCGTGGCTATGAAGCTGTGGTCTCTCCCAAGCTCTAGGCTGGGGCTCTCTTCTTGCTCTGGAGACATGGTCTCATAGCCCTTGTTGACGTGTAGCGGCTGGTGGGCTTGGCAGTACCCCATCACTGGCTGTTCGTAGCTGTAGTAGGGCAGCGGCTTCACGTGGTGTGGTATCTGGGTATGAGAAACACAAAGAGTGATGGGTTGATTACAGAAACGCTGCAGATAGCCAAAGACTCGCCTCAGATAATACTTCTATTCTCCATGCTATTTCAGGTTATCAGCCAGTGATTCCATTACTAATTTAAAAACAAACAAAAAACAAATTCAATTTAACCAAAAATGATTGATACTGCTTGACTCAAATCTTGGTTCAGAGGAAATTATGCATACTTTACATACAAAATCAAATACAAAAAATCATGTTCTACATCTATATATCTGTATCATTAACATATCACCACATGAAGTTTGAAATAACATAAATAACAAACAGGGAATTTTAAAGCATAGTAGGTACATCTCTACATTTGAATAAAGGTATTATGAACTAAGGAGTCTCTGATAGCAGTGCACATTCTTAGTCCTTTATTTAGACAAGGTCTCTCTGAATAGGCTAGGCTGTTCTTATACTCAAGAACTACCTGCCTCACCCTCTTATGTGCTGGAATTACATGAATGTACCTCAAAACACAGGAACTTAGTTCTTTATTTATAAAGAAAAAAAATATAATAGGTATATTGCTTGTTTGTTGACTGGACTAGGTCTGACTTTTACTATAGCTTACTGCAGAAACTAAATCGATTTAGTTTACAGTTCAGTAGAGATCTTGACCATAAAAGATTTTCTGGCCTAATTATTCTGTAGAAATTTTACCAATCTTAAATCTGTCTTTGCGAATTAATCTTCAGCAGTCATTCTTCCAATTATTACATAAGTTCCTCAAGTGCTCTTTAAACAACCTCTAGTATTTTCTTACTGGTATTCTCACTAATATAATTAATATAGTCTTGAAAAAATATTATTTGCATGAGAATTATATTTTTAACATCTTATTAGAATAAAATTCACCTCTGCACATTTTTAAAGATGTAGACAAGTAGTACTTTGTATGAAAGATCACAACTCATTAGTAGGTTGTGAAATTAATCTAGTAGACTAGGTAAGCATTTAAAAATTAATTGAGGAGGAATAGAAAGTATCAGAGTAAGCAGTAAAGACATGTTTTTCTGAGAATTTTGTTTTGAATCTTCATACATGCATATCAGTGTTTGTGTGTTGCAACGTTCTTAATGAAATAATACGTGATCAAAAACAAACTCAGACTATAGATCAATTTTAAATGATTGATAATAGCTTGTATAAAGTTCCTATCCTGCCTTTATCTTTCCTTCTCTTTAAACTCTTTCAATTGATTGGTTTTCCTAATGAATTAGAAAATAAAATGTACATATATGTATATATAGTAAGGTATATTCTGTAATATATGGATACATGTGTTTATATAATTATACATAATAAAGATTAATTTATGTACATATATTTTATTATATTCATATTATCTCCCTATATACATATAAACACATTTGCATTTTGATGTGACATAATGACTTCTATGGAGGGTCAGCACTATTTTAAGTAAGTCTTTCAAGAAGTAGTGAAATGAATTATGTAATAGTAACAGTAATGAATTAGTTGCCAATAGTAATAGCCTGTGATTAAATGAGTTGATATGTAAAAGTCATGATATATACAATTCTAGCCTCAAAAAAACATATTCAGTCAAAGTTGTGTTTAATAGTTTTGATTAGACATTTGTCATGAGTTTGGGTGCTGAAAGTGTGATAAACAAACAGACTGTAGGATAACTGGCTTTAATTCTTAGATATCAAATATTAAGTTAGCTCTAATATACCTTACTACAAATCTGCAGTTCTGTGTGTTTTATTATTCCTTATTCATTTAAACCTCTATATATCAGCACAGTGTCTGGGCATGAAATGTTTGTCAGCAAGTTCTATTTTGGCAAATCTCTAGAGTATGTCAGTGTGTCAGGAAGGGAGAGATCTGTGTGATCAAGGTCATGGGTCACCACAACTCTGACAATGCTGAGAAATCAAGCAAATACTTTCATATAGGCATTGCAATAGGAAGAAATGGTTTAGAGAAGACCAACCCCTGGGCAGCACAATTCATTTTACTTTCTGGTTAATAGGTAAAGGAAAAGAGCTTAACTTGTTGATTAAGGTATTCCCAATAACAGCCACAAGCACTGGGATGCATTCTACCCTTTCATTTAAAGGAATGATTCATGGCCTCCAAAGTAGCCAAATTTCTGAAGGTGACAAAGCACAGGTTATGATTCTAAGTTGTTATATTGCACACTTACTGGACTTTCTCCTGTTATTGCAATGAGCTAATACTTGAACCCCCAAAATCTATGAGAAATGAAAGTAAAGGTCAATCAGAGCCTTACACTCTTCTGCATAACCAAGTTAATCTAAAGATGAAAACCAGCAACCTATATGTCCATATTATTAGATTTTTTAGTATTTACATAGACATTAGATTTAAACTATAATGAAAGAGAACAATTTCATAGCTAAGAAAGCATGACATTTGTTTTCAAATTAAGTAGACTGTCAAAGTCAAGGCACTTGAATTCACTACGGAGCTTTAGGTTTCTAGTTATATCATTTGTGAACTCAGAAAACTTGTTTTTCTCTCACAGGTGAAATATTTATTATTATTTCTTTACTGATATAAACAAAAGTTCATATCATTTCCCCTCTTGTATTGCAGACTACTTTGGAACTCCTTGTAGGATAGAAATAATTGTAAAGTGCCCTCCTAATAAACTGACCAGTAACAACATCTCAACAGCAAAGTGAATTGGCAAGATTTGAAAGAATATCTGCATCATTTGCTCATTTATTCTTCCATTCTATTCTGTAGGGCTCAATGTAATCAACTGAAGTTGTAGTTTCTGAGCAGCTAAAAGACAGAGGTCTGGTATTTTAGAGTAATAATGTACAGTACATTAACCACCTGGGTCCCTGTGTGCATCATTGTTTCCTTTCCAGTAGTCAAAACAAAGTATCCCTTAATGTAGCTTTGGTATTTTTGTAAATGTGTTCTCCAAGCTTTTTTAAGGGTCCCAGTGTTCCATCCATTCTCTGATGGGCTCCACTCTGTAGCTCCGCAGAATAACATTATTTAAAGATGTCCTTGTTAGCATGCATGACTACTCATTGGCTGCTCTGGAAACCATGTTTTATTTACAGACAGTGGATATACAGAAAATAAAAGAATCCCATTAGGGGAATAGATATAGATAGATAGATAGATAGATAGATAGATAGATAGATAGATAGATAGATAGATAGATAGATAGATAGATAGATAGATAGCTATTGAGATATATAATGGAAATTCTGCCATTTGCTTCTTTTTTTGCTTCTTTGAATATAAATCACACTTAAACCTTTATAAAAGATATTTTATAATGAAATCTGATGTTGATTAAGTGCAAACATTCCTATGGCTAATTTAAGATCACTTCAATCTCTTAAGCGTTAGGCGAATCCTCTGAAAACAAGGTAAGTAGGGTTAACTGTTTTACTTTTAGAAATTTCAATATTCCAGAACCTCCACCCCTTTTATTATTATGTAGTTACTCTTAAGTCATTTTACACAGGGTTTTCAATTGAACAGTCAGTTTGTGAGCATTTTGATCATGTTACTCATTTCATCATTTTTCCTTAATGGTTAGGAAACAAGAAATACATCAAGAAGACATATTGCTACTCTGTCTTAACACTGACAGCATCTTTTTAGGGAGTGTATCCTGTCTTTTTTTGGCCTCAGCTGAGACTCAAGGAAATGCAAGGAGCAGACTCATCTAGAGCTTGTAATCCAGGCTTTCAATCTGCTTTATGCACTAAGAAGCTGAGAAAATGTAGTGTATGCTCCAGTTTTCTGAAGTCTTCATTTATAATATTCCCTGAGTATGTTTTACTTCCAATATAGTCGAGGGAGCAGAAGAAAGGAAAGAAATTAAGTAACATGATCCCCTTAATTATAGGACCTAAGAGTGTTAGCAATTCAGTCAGAGGAATAGAATATTTTCAAACCTTTTCAGGCAGAGTGAAATTACAGATAGATATAGCCTCAAAATTCTAATGTTGACTCTGATTCCACTGGTTTTTTATATCTATATAAATTATACTGAAAATGAGGAATGAATGTATCTCAATAGTTAATGGGAGAGAAATTTGAAGTGAAGTTTTGATATATTTGATCAAAGGCCTTTGAATTTCTCCTTTGTTATGAGCATGAAATTCTAAAAGTTACCCTTTTCTGCCAAAATATTTGCTTTAGTTGTAACTAGTATACTGTCTATCATTTTTAAATTACTATGGACTATCATTAATCTTATTTATTAACTTTTCATGAACATTGTTCACATTTCAATATGAGTTCCTTCAACAGAAGTCTTAAAAAGTTGATTTTCAATGTCCTCAATGACATTTCATCTTTAATATCCAGAATTAAAGGCTACTCGAGGACTATTAAGAGCTTTTGAAAAAGTACTATCATACAAATTATGATAAAGAATTCAATACAATTGAATTCCTCAATGAAGATGGACACTGGGTTCATTGGAAGTGGAATTGCTTTTAAAATGAAGGACAATTGCTAAGTGAATATATTATTATTTTTTTACAAGAGCACCAAACATACTTTATTAGCACAAAGAAGCAGCCATAACAAGGCACAGCAAGCAGAAACATACATCAGCAGTCAAAGGATTAGTAGTGTTTGCTTCTTAGTATTGAACTGACTTCAGTTCTGTCCTAGACACTTTGTACTACAGTAGCCAAATTCATTCCTGTCTTTTTGTTAATGTGTTCTGTGAGTGCTTCTTAGTTTCCATACCAGCTGCTACAGAAGGTTATTTTATATTCCTATGGCTATTGCCAAGGTTACAAAAAAGAAAAGCTATATTTGTGAATATATTATTTAAAATTCATTCTACTCAGTTTATTAGTGTATGACAAGAACGGATAGGTAATAAGTATAGTAAACAAGTTTGATTTTGGTATTTCTTTTCAGGAATTTTGATTAAAGCTGATAGAATCTCAGTGCATTTAAGTTAGTAGGATAACACAGA